GAGTGTGTAAGTTTTTTAAAGGGATGAATTGATCATTACTGTGTCCACATCCCAAATATGACTGCAGATGGAGAATATGAAATCTATCGGTTGCAACAAATAGAGCATGGAGCACAGGAAGAGCAAAAGGATTTGACTACAAGTTGATTAGGCAAAATCTTCAAAGGGTTAGAGTAGAATGTGAGTTCATGGATTAAATCTATCATTGAGAGTGTGATAATCTTACTAATTGTATTTTTAGCAATTTGGTTAGTTTACAGCATTTTAAAAGGAGAAATACAGAAGAAAACATCCTGGAACCAGAAAATAATGAAGGCACTGACACGAGATCCACAGCCACCATCTTCTGGTTCTCCAGTTTGTGACAACATTTCCAGGACAACGTTTACATCCATCAAGGATTTGAAGAACATCAAGTATAAACTCAGAAACAAAGGATTGTATCAAGTGAAAACACTTCCACTTATAGTGAAATAAAAATGCTTTCAAAGGCCGGAATGATAGANTTCAAAGGAAATGGGCCAGGGCTAGTGATTTTATGTATCAATAGCCATTGAGGTGGGGTGATATTAACAGCTGCACGTTCTTTCTACTTCTGTTCCCTCTAGTGCAGAGCCAGGAGTTGTTATTAGCTGTCCAATTTGCATGGACTATTACTCAGAGGTAAGGATGCACCTCTTGTCATCCTTTGTGCTTTGTGGGAGGAGGAAGAAGCCAAAAGGGGAGTTGCCCAAGTCAGCTGCCTGATGTGGGCAGCTGGCTGGAAGCACAGCCCTTGCTGGGAAGCTCCACAAGTCCCTTCTTGCTGGTGAATGGAGAGGGACAAGCCCTTGCCAGGATGGCACTGGCAGATCTGTGGCTCCCTCCTGGCTTCTAACTGATTCCAGATGCTCTCAAGTCTCATTTGCCTGCTGCCAATAGAGCAGAAAACTCCAATTCTTTCCTCCCAATACATGTGGTTGTTGTTTCCTTTCTTCCAGATCATGCAAAATGGACGACAGCTTGTGACAACTGTGTGTGGCCACGTGTTCTGCAGTGGGTGCCTCCCTGCTGCCCTGGAGAACACCGGCATGTGCCCAATGTGCGGCGTGCAACTCGATCCAGGGTTGTACTTTCCTATTTATTTATGAGCTCTTCTGCTGCTCAGGACACTCTCAGGTGGACCTTGAAGAACAGGCGGTGCAGAGGCTTGCTTCTTTCTGTATATAGTTTTTTTCTGTACATAGTTTCATGTTTTCTGCGTTCAGTTATACATAAAGTTTTGATTGATTTAAATCTAGTCTGTCTGCTCTTCTGTGTTGGACTGTGCTGATAGACAGAGATGTTGTTTACCAGGTGGAAATCAGGCTCTTGGTTTGAGCAGTCAGAAGCTCGTTCTTTTCATCACACCATAGTCACTGATTTGGGGTTAATGTGCTCATGCCAAGGGCTTTGTAGTTCTTGTGGCCAATAAATAAGAATTGAATAATAATTGAATAGTAATTGTGGCAAATAAAGTGTGTCTTGTACAGGGAAAAGAAACAGGTGCTCTTTGGTTTGCAAGATCTTGTACTTCTCAGGCCACAATCTGGTGGATGTTTAGGTGCAAATGTCATTGATAGTAAAAGGTTTTAAAATCATAGAAACCTTGGGGACTTAGAAAGAAAGTTAAGCTTGGCAAGCCCTGGGAAAAGTAGGCCCTGAGACATGTTAGGCCTTGTGCTTGCTAAAGATCATAGGAAACTGCACTTGTGTAATCAATAGATGATAAATGATACAATTGTTGATGTGATTATTGTTTAAAGAAGATGAGAAACAATGTTAGGGGCTTGAGAGGGGATCAAGAGCAATCCATGCTTGGGTAAAGCAATGCATACAATAGAACAATGTAAGTTTAAGAATTAATATGTAAGTTATAGAACGATAGAGTATAAAACCATGTTCAAACCAAGTCAGGTCAGATTTGGGTATGTGTACCCCTGACAGCCAGAGCTCTTCAATAAAGCACCTTCATATAATCATTCTGTGATTATGTGTGTTCCTGAACGCTAACAGTGTGAGCAATAGAGGTACAATAAAACATAAAAATATAATAAAAATACTTTCATTTTCTTATTTAATTTCAACTATACACAGTTTTCAAGTGCCAGTTGAAGAAGACTCAAAGCTTTAGTCTGATTTCCAGTCAAGTTACAAACACAGACTTCTCTGTATATAATCATCACAGTTTTATTTCTGTTGAGTAAAACAGTTTTGTCTGGAATCTAATCTTAATTTCATTGCACCAAATATAAAAAACAGTTACATCTCACTGAAGGGTGGTCCCTTCCTTTGCCAGGGAGCAGAAGAAGAAAAAGGACTTCATTTGATTAGTCTAAAACATGCTTGCAAACCTTCCCAAAGATTCAGTGAACTCTGCTCTGAGAACATTTTCTGATATGCACAAAAATCTCTAAGAGTGGCATGTTCTTGTAGCAAAGGTTATTTACAGTGGGAAACAAAATATGAAGATCCTAGCAATCTGAGAGATGACACAGTTACCCAACGTTCTGCATTTGAAAATCAAAAAGGAAGAGAAAGTGTCAACAGACATTTACAAACAGGCAAAATAACTATCTGGGTTAAAAACAGCACTGTTTTAGGGCAGGGAGAAAAGTTTCACAGAAGGCTTCAGATTTTCTATGTGAGCTGTTCTCCTCAAATTATTGGTAAACTGTTAAAATCTGAAACATAGCCTTCAAAAAACTCTTTGCACGACTCTTTCACTGAAAATCCAATTTATACTTAATAATTCTCAAAAAAAGTCACTTATTTGTAAATATTCTAAGAATTCTGAGGCCATTTCTCTCACATAAGAAAGCTTAGCATCTAGCTAAACTACCTACCTTACTTCATATGATTATACAAAATTGAATTAGTGTATTGTGCAGTATTTAAACAAAACCTGTTTTAAAATGTTTTATAAAAGATGATTTCTTTCTTGTAATGGTTGTAAATGATTTGGTCATCCAAATTTCTATACATGGTCCACCATCTTCTTTCAAGAAAATTTCATTTTCCTGGAAGTTTTCATTTTAGGAGTATTCTTCTTTACAAGACACAAGCTACCTTTCAGCATGAGCATTTGAAACATGAAAATAATCTGAAAATGAGTAAAATGAAAATATTCTACAAATATGTTAGATCACTTGAGATCTACAATTAGAAATCCTCATTCCTGACTCCATATAGCTCTCTGACAAATTATGATTCTTCAGCTACTGGGAGCAGAGGAACCAAAATTTCCAATGAGTTTTCTATTATACCTATGATTGGCGTTTACTTTAGGGTTGCCAGAATTTCACATGAAAGTAGCTGAAATTTCCAGATGTTTCTTCAGTGAAGAGCACTAGCTCTGCTCTCCCATATCAAACCTTCCCTAAGTACCACCAGTTCTTTTCACAAATATTATCAAACATCACAGCTATCTATATTCTAACTTCACATTTCACATTTACAATGTTGAGTTAATTTAGCAAAATCCATTAAGTAATTCAGACACAGCAAATTCTGCTCGGATTGTGTGTTCCGGGTAATTTTGCCATTCCAGAACTAATGACAGCTTCTTTCAGCACTGCTCATGAAACAACCAAGTACATCTCTTTGGTTTTGTCATCTGATTTATATCATAACATTATTGGGGAATTGCATCTTGCTTCAAAGTACTTCAAAGTATTATAAAGCTTTGATCATTAAGAATCTCCCAACTTGCATCACTGTTCCAGTAAATTTTTGAGTCTCTGCTGCCATGCTTTTGAGTATATTATCTCCAAACAGTGGAGGTGTTTGTGCAAATCCCACTATTTGGGCAAAAATGTCTTCTAGTTGATCAGGCAAAAGTCTTCATCTATTTAAATAGTAAAGCATATCAATATCTGCTATAATAAATATATGAATATACAAAACAATATATTTATTTAAATATCTATCAAAACCCACAATGTCACAATGCTAGGCAATTAATTTTTTTATACTGAATTATATAGGCCATGGAGTGGAAAAGAATAAAAATTCAAAATGTCATTAAATATGTATTAGAACATTAGGAAAATAAAATATTCCAGCCGTAATGTTAAAATTCAAATTGCTTGACTGTTGCTGATCATCACTCCAATAACAGTAATAATTACAAGGCAAAATTGAGAGAAACTCAGCTGTTGGGCTGCTGAATCTGAAAGTATTGAAAGACAGACAGCAGATGAGTGGGACCTAAACTGTCACATGTGGGACAGTTCAAGCATCCCTCCTAAGCCTGAGGAGAAAAATTTGCACCATTAAGGCATGAGATACCTCATTCCAAAGCTACACAGGCTTGATGAATCAGGGTTACAAAATGCCCCATTTTCTTTTACTGATTTTAGGAAGTTTAATGACTAGTTCTCATAGTGGTCTTATACTGCTGATGTCCAGTTAAACAAGATGAATCCTGCACAGGATACGTGAGCTGGAGCTGCAGGGGGACAGAAAGGAACACAATGATTTAGAGCTCTAGAGCTTGGTGAAGAAGTAGGAACAGAGCCTCTGTCTGAAGTTTTGAGATGAGAAGTTTTGTGAACACGCTTAAATTTCTTAGTGCTTAAATGAACCAAACCACAGAAATCTGAGGCTTGCCCTTCATGAGCTGGCAGATTACTATTTTTGGCACTCGGTTTTTGTGATGATGTCAGAATGATTATTTTATTGTAATCAAAATTTGAATGTATATGACATTTTGTTTATGCCAGTCCTCTTTTTATTCTCCATGTGTATAAACAGATATACCAGCACTAAACAACTACAATTCTGTGTCCCAGACACAGATGTGGAGCAATATGGAGGCCTTCAAAAAGTTCAGGGTTGCCAAAAATAATGTTCCACCTATCATCTTGCACACCAGTGTTTCAGAAGACTTGTGTACCACATACACAGCAGCTTTCTACTTGTGTAGTAGAAGAAAAAAAGGGATTTTGCAGGATTTGATTGCTCGAGAAAGAAGGCACACCTACAAGTTGTACGGTGAATACATACCTAATCGTATTTTAAGAGTTTTGGGCCAATTCTAAACATCTGCATTTTATCAGAATTTCAGGGACATCATTTGGACAAAGGTCAGAGCCGTCCATACTGTAGGACCAAACTGCATCTGAATGTGTTTAGCACTGCTACAGTACCTGCTCTTTGCAACAAACAGTTACTGGCGGTGGTTTCCCACAAGCACACAGGCTATTTAAAGCTACTTATTTCATAAACAGCTTTTAAAAAGCCCAAACAAACAACGTAGAGCTCACAGCCTAAAAAGAAAACTCTCAGTGAAAATCCCTCCATCAACTGGCACGGCAGCTTCCCTCCCCATCGGTTTTTTGGGGTGTGTTTCAGGACAGCTGAGCCCATGCTGCAGCACCTTGTGAGCAGCACTGTCAATGCAGCAGCCAGGATTCCAGCACAGGGTTTCTCTGGAACCCAGAGGGGCTGTGGGTATCACTCTTTTTGCCGCAGGCACACTTCTGGTTGGTCTGCAGACATAAGTCACCCCGCTTGATTTTGTGTATCTACGGCTGAGTCAAACTTTCCTCAGGCTACCAAGCCCTGCACTGGCAAGCTTTCCTTCTGTGTACAGTGAGTCAATATACTCTGACTCTGTTTTCAAGATTCTAGAAAGACAAGGCTGGAAAAGCAGTATAAATCATTCCATGTTGGAAATAATTACTTACATTTGAATTCTGTAATCCTTATTTGAGCAAAACTCACATAGACCTTAGTGGGAGTTCAGCTCAGTTAATGACTGAAGTACTTGGCCCTTAATTCCTTTTTCTGCCCTGCTATCAGATGTATTATTATTATGAGAAACATCTGTAATAATACTTTACACTTCCATAGCCCCTGACATCTGGAGGCTTCAACAAACTCTCTCTGAAATTACTATTAGCTATTCTTATGTTATTAAGGATGTCAAGTAATTTGCCCAAGCCAGAGATATTATGTTTATGCTTTATGCAGCTCTTAAAAAATTAAATGAGGTTGCAGTGATAAATACCATCCATTATACAGCCCAAGTATTTATTAACTAAGTGGAGAGAAAGACAGCTAAAAAAATGACTGATGCTGAAGATTAAAAGAACCATAGATGCTTAATATCAAGTAATGTTCAAATTCAGCTCTCCCTACTTGAAAATTTTTGTTTTGCTTTTCAGACTCTAGAGATCTCTTAACAAACATGAGGCCAGAAATCTAAGTGGGACAATAATGTGGTTTCTGTTGATGCTTGCTAGCTTGTCTGTCTGT